GTTACGAAAATTATTTTTGCTTTCACACAAATTTATGAAAAATGATTGTATCATGTATCAAAATGTGTAACTTTACTTTATAAACATTTCATAAATTATCATAAACTTATATTAATTAATTTTTATATTTATCGATTGAAATTATGAAAATATCCCAAAGACCTAGAGCCTTCACTCTCACGGTTTCTCGAACTTTGTCAATTCCAATTAATCTACGGTTATCGCTTAAGCAGCTTGATGTCGAATACCACATGAGCAAACCCTATTCACTACATTTCAAACTACGCACCTCGACATCGTGAAAGGGACATCAACAGGGTATCCCGTAGAAAATATCCCGCACCCACCTCTGTCCCGAGCCTAATCCAAATTTCAAAATCCTCACATTAGCCTTTGAGACGGTCGTACATCGTGGTCCGCTTTCTCAGTTTGTCGCGCGATATTTTCATTCTCGCGTATTCGTATACCTTTCGCAGATAATACTCGTATGCAACGAGGGTGAATCTCCTCTTTTCTATTACGGTGTATTATACCTACAGATTTCTGACAAACTACGAATATATTCATCCATCTTCGGTTCCTTTCTCCATGTGTGTCTCTCTCTCGTTCGTTCCATCTTCTCGTTCATGGTGCCGGTAACGTTTCCACCCTCAAAGGACCTGCTCGACATAGTCAGAGGATTACGATGTACAACTCTACGTCGAGTTAGAATTTGGTGACACGAAGATGAGTATGTATATGGGAGTTTATTGAATGAAGCTGTATTAAATTCAGTATCATTTCAGGCCGACAAGGAGATAAAGGAACTCAAGGAAAGAGCATGGAAGCTGATTACGTTTACGTTTACGATCGAATTTATAGTTGAGCTGGAAAAAAATATCGCGATTCATTAGCAGCGCCGTTATTGATTTTCAGTGAATTTTTGTCGTTATTCAAAAATATTCAAATTCTAATTAAAAATTATTTCATTTTGATAATAATTTTCATAATAATACCTATTTGATAAAAATTATTAAAAGTTTGGATTTTGTTTGGCAGAGATTTATAAAACTTTAATACAGATACTTGAAACAATATGATGTTTGTTGAAATATAAATTTTATTTTAATTAATCTTGAAATATGAAGTTATCATATAAATTTAAATAAACTGAAGAAAAAGATTTAATATATAATTATTCTCTTTTTACTTTCATCATCATTTTAGAATAAGAATTTATTATGTTTGCTTTCAACAATATTATACAGTCTAATAAAAATTTGTATAAACATATACGAATAATATTACATGACTAAATAACACAATTATATGTATGTATTGCAAAAAAGAATTCGTATACTCATTTTTAATAGGCTTACTTAAAATATTCTAAACTTATTTATTAGTAACTTCATCTAAATGCTGTTCTTAATTATTAATTTGCAAAGTATGTTGATAAAAGTTGAAAGTGTCAATAAATAAAAGGCAGCTCTTCGTATCAGTTTCACGAGGCAATGAAACTTTTCATTTTAATTATTCCATCGCGATGAAATATTCGCGTTGTACATCTATATCGTGGAGTAGTCTCTTCGATCTCTTTAAATAACGTTATCAAATACATTAGCGTTAAAGAAACTGTGCCCCTTAGATTCGCGCGCGAGCACAGCCACGTAGGAAAGTATGATTGTGCTCGATGGAGCGGCAAAAGGATTCGTACCGATGACACGAAATATTTTCCGCGAGCTCCCACGGCGTTCCGTTCCGGCAGCAGATCCTTTTTACACGCGCGGAAACGCGACCGCTTTTATGTGAGTTAACGCACCGGCGCTCGTAGATCCATAACGTAACCCCTCCGACCCTCGTAAACCTGAATTTATTAACACTTCGAACGATGGGGGAGATTTGCTAAATGGTTTTCAATTTGTACCTTAACGTATCCAGACCACATGCTCGACAGATTTCGCGGCATATCGCGTATGTACTACCGCAAAGGACTGTATATTTCATTTCTTATTTCAGATTTTATTTCAACCAGTTCTTCTTTATCGCTTACAACGTCTCGAGCGTCGTCCACGAAATTTAAATTCGACGGTTACTTTCGTTTTATTGGCAATCCTGGTAATTGAATGAGAGAGAAAGTAAATCAGCGAACGTTCGATGCTCCAGCTGTGCGTTTCCTGTATTCTGTTCTTCTCTCTCTGTCTCTCTCTCTCTCAGACTTGTTTTTCGAAATACGCGATTCTTTATATGTAGGATTTAATGTTATTCATTTAATGTAATTTTTATTCTTGCTATTAAAACTGCCGGCGACATATAAAATTTGTATCAGAGAAATTAAATTAGGGGAAATCGAAAAAAAATGTTTATGATATGATATAATAAACTTTTGTTTATATATTTTACGAAAAAATATGTATTATCCTACTTTGATAGTTTTTAATGTTAAGTAGCGCAGACAATGTATAAACAGTATATATTCTAAGTAGCATAGCTGCCAATTTTCATTAGCCTCCAATTTCTATTTCTTTCTAGATTATTTTATATTTTTTATTCTATGTGTATTTACTATTATATTTTTGACTATATATATTTACTATTATACGTATTTACTATTGTTTAACTACACTTGGAATTTATATATAACATGCTTTACTTTTCAATAAAGATGTCACTTCTAATTTTTCTAGTTATATAAAAATACCAGTAAATAATGCAAAATTGAATATATTTAGATTCGATTAAGTTGAATATTATAACAAACAAATATTTTTACGTAATAACTAGGAAAATTGCAAAAATGCTTAGAATACATATAACATATAAGAATTTACAAAGTATAGTATTTATAGTTGGACGAAATAAATTTCTGTTTAGATTCTAGACTTTTTAAATTAGCTTTATAAAAAACGTGAAATCGCATAAACATGAACAATCTAATTTTAACGCAATAAATAATAACAGATCCGTTGCGGGATCTTCTATAGTATCTACGTGCATAAGTTTCAGTGTCTATAGTACTTAAGAACTAATTATCATCTTTTATTTCTTACTTCATTTATCTTTTCTAAGTAAATGAATACGTAAGACCTTGAAAGAACTTATAGTATGTATATAGAGGGTGTCTACGTTATTTTTCTCCAGCATTTTTTCGTAAATGTTGTAACTATGTTCTCTCATTCCTAACTTTTCATAACTCTGAAGAACATTATTTGCAATATAATTGAATTCATCTTGACAGCTGCTTTCATACGACAAAAAAGAAAAAAAATTCTATATAAAAAATTAAAGATCATCTTAATTTCGTGAAAAATATTTTAAATATGAAAAATTGTTATATTGCTGTATTGATTATAATAAATCACAACTTTGTACTATATCATTTTTCCCTCTTGTTTACCATTTCCGAATACTCTGTATAAATTTAGAACCTATTACGTATCAGACAACAAACATATGTAAATAATTTTTAGTTTTTTAACCAAAATAAATTATAAAACACATAAATGTTTGAAGGTAGGCAATATTCATATAAACGTAATCATCGACGGAACAATGAAAGTTTTGACTATAAATTAATCATCAACTATAATTGTTTAATCATCAAGAATTATTTGCTTATAAAATATATAGCTTAATATATTTTCTCAAATAAATTGATCTCAAAAAGTTTTGGTAAAATTTTTACCACTGTTCGATTTCAAAGCTATTTCGAATTAGGGAATTAATTTTTTGGTAAGTAATGGGTTAAAGAATGTTTCACCTATCTTGATAGTGAATGTTTCACCTATCTTGATAGTGAAGCATAGTGAATTATCTCCAAATTCATGTTAAAAAATGAAAATGACATATAATTTTATACGTTCAACAATTGAGCAGCAATCTCATTTTGCACAAAAATTTATGTCTAAGGGTGTCGAGAAGTCTGTAGCTAAATAAATTACAATCTTATACGACATTTGTTCGTACAAGCAACTGTGATTTGTTTGTCAAACATTTGGAGAAAATGAGAAACACGAGGTACAGAAGATGAAAAATACAGAATCGAGCGGCTCTGAACGACCTCGCCCTGACGACGCGGATATTGGAATGCATCGCGCAGGACGCTCGTAATTTCCCGAGTAAGCTTCGACAAATTAGCTCCGGGCATACGTTACCCTCGCTTTAGTTGTCATCTGCGGTTTCGATTTGGCTTCGTATAGCCTCCCTCTGTTATCCCCTAA